AGCATATTATTACTTTAAAGAATGGATCTAATAAAACACAAATTGATCATTTTCTTATGAGAAGAAGAGATCGTCGAGAAAGTAAATATTTTAAGGTCATTCCAAGAGAGGGTTTAATTATTCAACATCGATTATTTGTTCTAGATTTTAAGATGAAGAGTTGTAAATTAAAGAATATTAGGAATCATCGTCATAGAATTAGATTGGGGTACATAAAAGACAAATAAATTTGATTTTATGAGTAAAATTCAAGATTTCAAGATTTGGGATGTTCATGAAAAAGCAAATTCTATGTGGGTAAAGTATCAAACATTACTAAACAAGTGGCCAAAGAGGTACTTAGAGAATCAAAATAAAAAGTTTGCATAAATAAAAATAGTTGGTGGTGGATAATAATGTGCAAAAAATAATAAAATATAAGAAATTATGTTATAAAAATTGTTTCAAATGTAAAAGCTTAGAAAACTGAGAAATATATCAAATGATCCGTAGGAGTCTAAGAGAACATTCTGTGATGCTAAAAATTCTGCTTTTAGTGATTTTTATAATAAATTGGATACTAAAGATGATAAAAAATATATGTATAAACTAGTCAAACAAAAAGAAAAAAAAGTAAAGATTTAATGGTAAAGTGTATTAAAGATGAAAATCAAAAAATATTTTTCTTAGAAAAAGATATTCAACATAGGTGAATACATTATTTTGATAAACTTTTTAATGAAATTTTTTAAAAATACAATTAACTTTAGTGATCTTAATATCGTTAATACTAATAAAATGTTTCATTTTTACCGTCGCATTAGTAAGAAAGAAGTTGAGGAGACTCTAAAGAAAATCAATGATGGAAAGTCTGTAGGACCTGATGATATCCCAATTGAAATGTGAAAATATATAGCAGAATTGAGAGTTTCTTGGCTTACTAAACTCTTTAATATTATTTTAAAAACTAAAAAGATGTCTGAGTGGAGGAAAAGTATTTCGGTCCCTAATTTTTAAGAATAAAGGTGATGCACAAGAGTGTGCAAATTATAGAGAAATTAAATTGATGTGTCATACTTTAAAATTATGGGAGAGGGTAATTGAGCATAGGTTAAGACGTATTACAAGATTTTTCATAATCAATTTAGATTTATGTCGGGCAGGTTTACTATGGAAGCTATACATTTATTAAGAGGTTTGATGGAGAAATTCAGAGAAAATAAAAAGATCTACATATGATTTTTATGGATTTAGAAAAAAATGATTTAGAAAAAGCTTACGATAAGTTTCCAAGAGATATCCTTTGGAGAGTTCTTGAGAAAAAAGGTGTTGATAATGACTTATATTCAATTCATTAAAGATATTTATACTAGAGCTATTACTTGTGTTCGAACAGAATGAGAATGGACCAAATATTTCCCTATTTCTGTTGTATTTCATTAGGGATCGGTTTTAAGCCCATATCTTTTTGTTTTAGTTATGGATGCTCTTACTGGACATTTAAAGGAGCATGTACCTTGGTGTATGTTTTTGCTGATGATATCCTTCTCGTGGATAAGATGAGTCGTGGATAAGATTGAGAGAGAAAGCTCAGGAAAAACTTGAATTATGAAAATCTACATTGGAGTCTAAAGGCCTTCATTTGAGCAGAACTAAAACTGATTACATGAAATGTATTTTAGTAGTAATAGCTCGTGACATAATTGTAATTATGGGTGATCAAATTATTAAAAGGTGTGAACGCTTTAGATATCTCGGGTCGATTGCTCAAAGTGATGGTGATATAGATGGGGATGTTATTAGTAGAATTCAAGTTGGTTGGTTGAAGTTGAGGAATGCTTTGGGCCTATTGTGTGATAGAAAAGTACCGCTTCGACTGAAATTAAAATTTTATAAGATGGTGGTGAGACCTGCAATGCTCTATAGCGCTTAATGTTAGCCTTTAAAAGAGAATAATAAAACTAAGTGTTGCCGAGATGATAATGATTGGGTGGATGAGTGGCTTTTTACTTAGAGACAAAATGTGAAATGAATATATCCGTGATAGGGTTGGTGTAGCTCCAGTGACGGACAAAATTAGAAAGGGTTGTCTTAGATGGTTTGGTCTAATTAAACGTTGACCATATGATGATCCGATTATGAGAGTGGATGTTTTAGATTCAACTTATGTTAAGAAAGGCAAAGGTATACCTAGAAAGACTCGGGCATATTGTATAAAAAATTATCTTAATTTATTAGAATTAAATAAAAAAATGACACTCAATAAGACGCAATGGAGAAAAAGGATCATGTAGCCGATCCCACTTAGTGGGATAAAGGTTTGTTGTTGTTGTAGTTGTATTTGAAAATAACTTACATACTTTTACTTGGAATTGCTCTCCCTAGGTTTGGGGAGAAAATTACAGAGTTTTCCTCATTCCCTTAAATTTCTTCTCCTTCCATGGCGTTAGAAGATTTGGCTTATATTTAGCCTTAAATTTTTCCAAAGCTTGACTTCATAGTTTTGACATATTCAAAAACAGCCTAAATAGTTGTCAAAAGATCCACTAGTGGCTTGATTTATAAAGTTGATTTTGGCTCGTTTAAAATAAAAAATAAACTCAAACCTTTAGCTATGTGCTTTTGAATGAAAATCATACCTAAACTTCTCATTTTGGAGATAATTAGCAAAACTAAGATGCCACCTAAATATAATTAGTCCTTTTTCTTGGTTAAGTGTGTATAGGGTCCACTGGACTTGATTTGACATGGCTAAACTCATTTTTCTTGTTTACTCGCTCATTTCCAATAGTATTAAGTTAAGACTTTGCAAACCACTCGAGTCACTAATTAGTTGAATTAAGGATTTGATAACCTGGAGTTTTGAGAAATTAAGATCAACAATTTGAGGATTCATTGTTTTGATGTTTTTTTTACTTTTATCTCTATTTTTATTTATTGTGGATTCGACAATTCCAGCACTATTTCACTTCAACAAATAAGATGTGGCTCACTTGTAATAAAAGCGGATCAGTTTGTCAAAAATGGTTTTCTAGCTAGTTGAGTTTTTTCATGATCACACAACCAATCATAGAATTTCAAATGAACTTAAGAAATCATAGCTAATCAAAAAATTTCACAAAATTATGCAACCCCCTTTGATTCATGTAAATATTCTTGTAATTAGATATATCTTAGGCAAAAATGTAGCAAGAAGGGAAATGGAATTACCACTATAGACATAGGAGATAACATAGATAGAACAAAGGTAACATGACAAAAAATAAGTTACCAAAAAATAGGTTTGCTTGCACTAAAGTTGAAAGGCATTAGGAATGAATGAAAGAGAAGGATTCATAAAATAGACCCCAAACAATTTGGATAAAAGTAACGATAATGTTTATGATGAAAAAGAAGAAGAGAAGAATGTAGAAATGGCTAGTATAAATTTTGTCTCTTAATTTTTACATGTCATTGCCCACAATCCTTCCTTCCATGCTTTGATGAATTATAATGGTTTCAGAAAATTAGCAGCAAGAATGCATGTTTCTATTATTCTATGTTGAGAATAATTTTTTTACCGATAGAGATGAATCGAAGTAATTATGATATGAATGCAAAAAACAAACCAATTACATATAATTAATCTACCATCATTCAAATTGCTCAAAAATCGTGTATCTCTAGCAAGCAACTACTACTTGAGTTCATATAACAGCAATGCAAAAGATTGTCTCAGAATATTGGTAAACATAAAACAGTGACTCGTAAGAACCAATCTCGTCTACTTAAGACAACTAGGAACCAAAGACTGAGAAATGAAAAGGCATGGTCTTACATTTTGTAAGTTTAGCAAGCTTCTGCGAAGTCTGGTAAATCCCAAGCCCGATCCTCGAAGCTCTCTTGTTGAATTCCGACTGGATGGAGACTGCCGACTTCGGCCCCTCCAGTTTCGACCCAACATTACTACTCTGTGCGTTTGAAGCAGATGATACGGACTTCCTTAATCTCTCGGCTACTGTAAGAAACTCCTGCGTACGATCCCGGTAGGAAGATTGCCCAGATCTGGCGGACATCTTCGAAACCCTAGTAGCAAGATCCACGAAAAAGAATACAGATCTATCGAGAAACCATACCTAGACAATTACGATGTTATAAAGCTGGTCGAATCAATTCATGCACCGATCCTTCTTGTTGATGACGATCCATGATATATTAGATCAAGATATTAGCTCCACGGAATAGAACATCCAACTAAGCTTTTGACCGAGTACGCGCCACTACAGTTGCAGGTCTTCTGTCGGCGACGAAACCCGGAAAACGGAGCGAAGAAGCACGTGCTGCCTTCACATATAAGAAATAAAGGCGCGCGCGGCTTTTGGCCTGTTGGCTACATAAGTGAAAAGATTATTTAAAACTGTATTTTTTAAATTACAATTGCGTTTTCGGATTCCAATTTACGCATATTTTCCAGTGAGGGCGCTCCCCAGACCTTGCTTTTTCCTTGGCCTCTCCCGTGACCGTA